TCAGTTTCTGAAAACAATTTATAGTTGATGTTGTCAAAGAGTCGGTATTTCAAAGGTCCCATGAGGCTTAGCTGCTCCTTGTTATGCATGTTGTGAATCATTTGCATCTTTCTTCTGTCTTGGTTGGAAAATTAGATAAAAAGTTCACTGCATTATTAAAAAACATGAATCAGTGATGGTTTTTTCTGTTTATGCTTTTGTAATTACTCTCAGGTTGTCTTTTAATGCAAAACCTATCTTACACAGAGCTCGCTAACTTAAGAGCCAAAATAACTAAATCTTCTATCTATATCTGTATTTTTATGTAGCTATCTATCTAACCAGATGCATCAGTTAAGATTTATGTCTGGCACTGAACACCAAGGAGGAATAAAAGACAAAAGGATGCAGTAAAAGAGCCAGTATATAAAATTTAAAATACTCTAAGCTATTGTGCTTGTCAAATCCTGTAATACCTAACTAAATTCCACTTACTCCGCTACTGTAAGCATATAACAGCCCCAGAGAGGATAAGCCACGAGACTGCGTCTAACGTGTCGACAGGCTTAGATCTGCGTGGTTCCACTGTCTATAACTCATTTGTGTGTCTGTAATGAAATGTGCTTTACCTTTTGGCCTGTGGCGTTCATGCATGATCCGTTCCCCACAGCGCCCTGAGACCTGATTCCTGTTCGACACATGTGATGTTTCACAGCTTTAATACCAGCTTTTTAAAACATGGCCTGTGGATTCAGGGGTATGATAAACAGCCTGTTGTCTGCTGTAATAGTCTGCATTTGTTTTGGTCTTTTTTTGGAAGCTACTGACCTAGCTCTTAAAAAAGATCCATGGAGCAGTGCATCCAGGCATCGGGCTGCCCTGAAATGAACATCTGCCGGGTTTCTCAGACTTATATACCAATCTGGTTTCCAGTTAGAATGGTATGAGGGCTTTATATGACATTGGGCCTCCCGTTGGCTTGCGTATACGGATGTCACTTAGTCTGAGAGATGTGTGTGTATCTGACACAGCTGGGTGCCTCCACTCTTTTCTGATGACTGTTTTGACAGCTCAGTAATAGCCTGTGCTGACAGTCAAAGCATCTCTACACAAGTGAAGGCAATTCAACTCATGCTATTCAGAATAAAACTCCCCTTTCACAGTAATTAGATTCTTGACTAAGATGATTCTGAATCCCTGGGAGCCTAGCCGAACTAGGAAAAAACAATTAATCTGGGAAGGGAAGTGCATGCCTTAATTGAAGCCTGATGGAGTGTTTTGCTTAGGAGAAGGGCATCTTTTCAAACATCAAGGGCTGCTTCATTTACATCTGGGTAATTTGTTAGAGAATAATTTGCAGGAGGCAGGCAGACTGAGCTATATAGGCTTGTAGCTAACTGTGTAGGCTGGAAATTAGTTCCTCTTTTTATGGCGTGATTATTGGGAAGGTATAATGAACAATTGTTAGCATAAAATAGGATTTAAAAGAATGGTCCTAATTAGGGCCACTCAACTAGTCTGTCTTTATGTGTTTAAAATCAGTTTAAACATGCACGGCTCTTGAATGAAGCCATTATGATTTTTCCCCCCTATTAACACCATGTGTCAGAGAATTAACATGAAACCCTTCCAAAAAGAAAATCTTTTAACTTTTTCTGATGTTTACAGTGTTAACTGGAAATTCAGTTCATGTGAGTTCTTTTCCTTTTTTAGTAAACTTACATGTTATTAACCAGAATAAAGCTGTTTATAATTGTGCAGTAAAAATTAAATTGTATGATGTGTAAATAAGAAAATCTGGAAGGTTGGGCATTCATTTCCATTGTCCTCAGTTTTTTCTGATTCCCCTTACAACAAATTGCCTTTAGAAGTTACATAATCACTAAATAGCATCAACCTGCATGTCATTTGGTCTTGTTAAGGATTTTCTGCATGTCTTAGGGGTTGGCTAGAGTATGTTAGAGATCAAACACATCATAAAGAGCAAGAAACCCTGCAGATAAATCAGGAAGGTCGCTATGAAAATGTTTGGACCAGAGCTGGGTTATTAAACAATCCATTTTTAACAAACAATCCTATGGAAGAAATTCTTTTTGAGAAATTCTTTGTGGATAGATTAGATACATTCATTAATAAACATAAGCTGCTTTCCTAAGGTAAATATGGATGAAGATCACAAAGATCTACAGCAATGGCTCTCAGTGAATAGACAGAAGTCACCAGCACCTTAGATAATAAGAAATCTGCAGTTGGTGTATTTCTTGATCTCAAATAATCTTTTGACACAATAAATCACAAATTATTAATAACGAAATTGGAGCATTATGGCATCCGGGGCGTAGAACTGCTCTGGATTAAAAGTTATCCAAGCAACAGGCAGCAAATTGTGCAAATGGGTGACTGCCAGTCATTGTGCTTGGACATTGTTTGTGGTGTCCCCCAGGGGTCAGTATTGGGGCCGAAATTATTTATACTTTATATTAATGACACCTGCAAAGTTTCTAAATTATTTAACTAGAAGAATAGTAAATGTAAGTACAAGAGTGTAAATGTGGTTTTTGGCCTGATGTGTTTGAGAAGGTATCTGTGTGTACGTTTATACAAACGTATATATATATATATATATATATATATATATATATATATATATATATATATATATATATATATATATATATATATATACGCATGAGAAATCATGTTTACAGTTTGTTCCAAGACTTGTAGAGTTGCTACATACTAGAGCTGCATAAATATCTGCTTTTGTAATAAATGTGCAATTAAAAAAAGAAATACAATCTCTCAAACACCGTTTTTACATTATTACTCTCAATGAGAATATCCTCTCTGTTCCATTGCATGTGGAAGCCTCCCTCGCAGAGCCGTCGCAGCTGATCACGCATTCGTAGTAAACCAGAGTAGTTCTACTGTGTGCAACACGGCACATTCCTGCAACTTGCACATTTAGTAGGGGGGTAGGACACTGCCTTCCTCACTCCAGTCCTATAGGTGGCAATAATGAGCTTAAAGTTGGCTTATTGTAGTTGATAGCGCACAAATCCATGCCTGTGTGCCAAAAGGAAGCATTCTGTGTAACAGGGTCATGAAAGCAAATAACACCCTGAAGCCAAACATGGATTTGATTGGAGTGCAGAGGAAAATCCAAATAATAATAATAAAAAAATAAAAAAAATATATAAAAATGCAGTTTAGATTTTTGGCAAGGAGAGAAGATGGTCTGGTTAGGTGATAGCCAGATTTATAATTTTAGCAAGTCCCATGTGCACCATGCAGTGGGGAGGACTTTCGTCAATAATATTTTCTTATTATTCCTAAATAACAATCATTTCTTTAATCTACATTATATATTTCAACATTTATTTCTGTCAACTTTACCTGTGTTGATATGTAGCACTTCATCATACGTGTAAAATAATACTTCCCAATAAAGCCTTTTCCCTGTTTTAATAAATGGATATAATTAGGCCTGACATTTTTATCAAGTTATATTTATTCTTTAATCTTTTCATTTAATTTAGTCTTTAATTTCTCTTTTTTATTTCACCCGTGGAGGAAGTTAAAGATAAGGGTTATGCAAAAAGGAGGGCCACAAATCCTAAAAAAGTTGGCGCTCATCAGACTAGATATCAGCATAGCCTACCAGTATAAATGTGAAAAAAAGTTAGACAATATTTCTGAAAAGAGTTTAATTGCAGTAAAGTCAATAAAATTGTTTCAAGGATTGTTAAAAGGGGTAAAAATAAATCTTGACCTGCCATTTTAAATGGAAAGTAAAAAAAGTTGCCTTTTTTAATTAATAATTGTTAATTCATTTTATTTAGGGGAAAACCTTATTTTTGTTTGCTGTCAGATACAAACTTCTTAGGTGAGTAGAAACTTTTTGAGATCTAAATTTACCAGAGATGTGAATAAATTCAGATTTAACTTTAAGTAGCATTGCAATACAGAGAGAAAAACTTCCAGAGTGTTACAAATACTCAAGTTAATGCTCACATCTAATTTATGTGAGAATCTATGAAATTCTTAAAAGCTGATTTAAATTCAATGCTTTTTATTCAAACTAAAAGCCTTTTTCGGGAGAGAAATGGGCAAAAGTTCCAGTATCTGGATGAGTAAGGTAAGTAGAAACAGAGACTACCCATAAGAACTGCAGCTGAAACTGCAGTGAAAGTTGGTTCTACAAAGTATTGACTAGGCAGGCTAAATACACAGACATTTGGAAAACCATGTAGTGTTTTCCTGCACTGAACGTTTCTGTTTAAAATTCAATCGACATTCGTAGCTACAGGACTGCATTCACATGTCACTCTCTTCTGTATCTGCTTCATGAACTCTGCTGTTACCTTACATAAGCGTGGTCCCCCATGATCCTTCAGCCAATGCTCACATCATGTCTTCTGTGTTTTTACCTTTCAGCAAATCACATCAGAAACCACAAATCCAGCCCCCAGCTGTGCCAATCTCAAAGAACAGAACCAGATTAGAGGGATTTTGAAAATACAGGAATTAACAAAGCACCTGCTCTTGTTTCCCAGTGGTAATCTGCTAAAGCCAAATCCAGAGTCATCACATCAGTTTGTTTCTGTACTGAAGAAAAGGCGGTCATGGCATTACATCATGCCAGCACAAAGGAGCATGTTATGCAATCATTGTTCAGGGATTTAAATGTTGTTTCCCAAAGTGAGAAAAATAGAAACGAGGAACTACAATGCAGCGCTCTCCTCATCTGACAGATTTTGACTTAATCCCAAAGAGCTGGTGAGATTCAGAGAGAGCTATCCAGTTCCAGTTGGATGCACCGTTTCATCACAGTGGACCATTTTTGAGTTTGAGATTCTGTTCTAGGTCTCCACTAAAGCAGCATGTTTTTCTTTGTGAGGTGCACAGTTAGCTCCTCTTAGACTTAAGTGGGGAAAAAATAAAATCGAATTCCCTTCACTCTTCTGCAGCCTTCAGTCGCACTCTGCTTTTGCTTCAAAATTAAATACCAACTTAATAATCTATTGCTGCCTCAACCTGCACAAATTGATTACTTTCATTTTAGTGTGCTTTTTTCTTTATTCCTTTATGATCAGTCTCTTCAGTCTTTTACAAGATCAACGTATTTTCTTCTTCTTTTGATATACGTATGTGCATTGATGAAAGTGCGAACTAGTCTGTCTTCTGCTTCTTTCATCTATGGTGTGTAATTTAGTCATTTCAAGTGTCTTAAGATCATTCACAGAACAGAAAAACATACAAACATATAACAAAAAAGAAGACTATCTAAAGTAATGCCCCTTGCTGTCTGTGCGTCAGAGCAGCTTGAAGAATTTGTCACTTCTGTTCAAATTTAGTGCTGCTGTTTGTTCCTGTGTGCTTTAGGGGCTCTGCTGTGCATGATGAAAGAGGTGCCGTCTTTGAAGCGCGTCCCAGTCACTGCTCCGTTTTTGTTTGTTGACACTCCTGATTTTTCCATTTCACCATTTGCCAGATAAGCAGAGTGCAGATGGAGATTTTCTTAGAGTTGTATTCTAGCGGATTAATTCAACAGGTTTGAATGTGATATGTATATGCATGATGGATTACTGCCTATCTATCTGAAAACACCCCTCTGTTTTGTGATTGTTTTATGAGGAAGTTATTTCTTAATCACTGGCTGAGTCCTTTATTTGGGAAAAACGTTTTTCAGGACATAGTAATTCGACCTACATACAGTAATTTACATCTCTTTTTTTTTTTTTTATTGCAGAAACTTTAACTTATTTTCCAGGAACTTCATGACCAACATGTCACAGCGCATATATCCATAGAGGTGGATATTTTTTTGGCATGTGTCTACATTCAGCCCCATTTACTCCTAAATAAAATTCATTACAAGCTTTAAAAGAACCCAGAGTGATGAGGAGTAGACTTGTGTGTAATTTAGTCAGAGTGTAATTACAGCTGTTCTGTGAAGGTTTCAAGTATGTTAGAGGAAATCAGTATGACATATGAGTCGATTACTTGTGGAAACCCCTTTAATGTTATTACAGCTAAAAGTGTCTGTATAAAATTTGTGTAATTTATGCAAAAAAAACAAACAAACAAAAACAAAAAAACCCCACAGATTCTTATTTAGCCTTTTTAATAAAAAAAAAATACTTAAATTTAAACCACCGTTTTAAAGGTACTCTGTGCTAATGTTTCTGCTGCTGATCTAAGGTGAAGCCATTTGCTTAAATCTGTATACTTTTGTCGTCTCTAAGAGTTTTTCTTACAGGGTTTCCCTCTATTACCCCCATCCATCTTCCCATCAACTTCAATGCATGAAATGACTTCTGAATAAAGCACTAGATTTTATTAAAGGGTCTCAAAATAAATGGGTCTGAATACACAAGCAAGCCACACTTTTTAGTTTTGAATAAAAAAAAAACAAACAAACAGAAAAATACAATTATATATCAATCAGAGCCTGATGAAGAGAAGCAGCATCCTAACCCTGCATTTTGCATGTCGACCAGAGATCTTAATTATGCAGCATCCCATCCATAACATGTTGCAAATCTAACGGTACTTTTCCTCTAACTTTTTCCTGAAGCTCTCTGGTATGTCCCTTGGTCTCCATTATGCTGTTTTTCTTGAAGTAACTTAATTTACTTTCTTGGTCTCAGATTAAATGTCATTTCCTTTAAAGATTTGAACTTCAAAAGATTTTAAAACCAGGTACTCGTTTTCATCTACCTCATATACTGCGCAGTTAAGCTTTAACTAATTTCCAAGTCTTGTTTTTTTTTTTTTTTTTTTAACTTAGACCCCTACTGTCCTCACAACAATTCAGCTGCACCGTATTGAAGGAGTTTTAATACACTCTAAACACTTAATGTGAGAAGTGAGTCAGATTCATTCATTCAAGAAAAAAATACTCCTCCTACAGCTGCAGCTTGGTGTAAAGGAGAAGTTATTAGCTGATTTGTAAGGCTGATAAAAGCTCCATGGTAAGGATAATAAACCCCTGTTGAAACCTTTTTTATTGACTAGCTAGTCATTGAACAAAAAAGAATTCAAACAGAAAATTGATTTCCTTTTCTTCTGGTTGTTGAAAAGGAGACACTGGAGGCTTTTTTTCCCTTTCAGCATTTTACCTCAAATGACATCTCAACTCCATGTAAGAAGTTTAATCAAATATCTGTTATTACTGACAAAAGAAGCAAAAAAGAGAAAAAGTCTATTGTGAGCTTTGAGGTATCTGTCCTGCTCTTTCTTCACCCATCAGTTGCTCCGTAAAGGCAACATGCCTCAAAGTTCCACCATTGGGTTGCTGTCTTCTGAAGCACGAAAAAATACATGACAAGGTGCCTTGGCTGTAGGCTGCTGGAGGATTTTTGCAGAAACCACATTGGCATGGAGTCAGGAAGAGGTAGGCGAAGATGAGGACCAAAGTCACAGAACAGCATAGCAGTGTTGTGTAACCAGTGTTGAATGGCACTGCTGCAGGCAACAGCACAGTCACATTCACCTCACGTGTTGCATTCAGCCCTTGTTTGACATCCACAGCGGTGCAAAGATATATACCTGAGTCATTGACCATGGCTGCTTGGATCTCTAAGGTGCCATTAGGAAACATGCTGATCAATGTGTCATTTATGCCACTGCGTGGGTAGAGCCAGCTAAATGATAGGTCTTTGCTGGTGAGGGACGTTAGGCAGTCCAGATGCGCCCTGTCGCCCTCATAGATGACCACGTCGGAGAGGAGATCCACCACAGGCTGCATTACAGGTTTTTCCACAGTGCAGTTCTTGAAGAACCGGTTGTTATGAAGGAACTGGAGGGATGTCCGAGGGTCCCCATTAACATTGCAGAAGTGCTCATCTGCAAAGTCTCTAATGGAATCGTAGTTCCTTAGATTCCAGTGCCAAAAAACGCTGTACATGGAGCAGTTGCAGATGAGAGAGTTGTTGTGAATGTACAGCCCCTGCTGCACCAGCCTGGGCAAAGCTTTTACATCCTCCCATAGCAGGCTTGACATCCGGTTGGATGACAGGTCCAGCATAGCCAAGAAAGGATGAGTGTGATCCTGGATGGAGAAGAATGGGAAGTCTGTAATGTGATTGAAGCTCAAATAAACCTTTTTCAAGCTACTTAGACCGATAAACGTGCCAGCCTCCACTTGAGAGATCTTGTTGTTGAAGAGACGGAGCTCTTCCAGCCTCCACAGCCCCTGGAAGTGGTGTCGCTCCACTATCTGAAGCTTGTTAGAGGACAAATCCAGCACCCTGAGACTGGAGACATTGCTGAACACGTTATGGCTTAGGTTACGGATTTCATTGTGGGCCATCCAGAGCTTTTCCAGCCTGGGCATCACGTAGAAGCTTTTTGGGCCCAGCCAGGTCAGGTGGTTGTGGCTGAGGTCAAGATTAGTGGGAAAGGAGGGCAGGGAGCGGGGCAGCCTATTCAGACCAGCAGCACTACAGCTCACTGTGTCCGATATGCAGAGACAGACAGAAGGGCAGGTTTGCTCAGAGCGTTGGAGCACACAGAACAGCAGGAGAAGAAAGGCATGAAAGCGTCCAGAGGTCATGATTCTCAGATCCTTGAAATTCTTAAATCCCATCTTGGTTGGCTTTGGCTAGATAATAATCAAGGGAGAAAAAGCAAGAATATTAGACAGGGGCTCATTTTTTGCAAACTGTAAGAAGTGTAAGCTTTCCAGAAAAGATAGAGGATAACTACACCATGAGTTCTTCCCATTATTCTGACAGGTTAAAAAATGAGTCAATTTCTGCCCATAAAAATTAACTTAACTTTCCTTTCTTTATTCCTTATAATAAAGCTCACCTAACAATGAACATAAATGATTCATAAAGCAAAACAACTCCTTATTTATTAAACTGTACTAATTGAAATTACATTCTGGTTTAGTTTAATCAGAGTTTAAGTATTACAACAATCATACTTCTTGTAAATCCTTGATAAGTGTATAAAAGCTTTAGAGCAAACTGTTAAACCCTATCTTTATTGCTGTAGGCCTGTATCTTTTCCAATGCTTCTGCATATTTTTTCTATGTACACAAAATTATCAAATAAACCAGCCAATTTTATTGGGCCAAATCATTAAAAAAAATCACTATCATGACACTACTCCTTTCTTCTATAAAATGTTGTGGGATGAAATAAAGAGAACAGGCATGAGGAAAGACTCAGGGCTTTGGTTGATTAGATCATGTTGTGGTCAGACTCCAGAGTCCTGCAACAATTTCATTGGTTTCTTTTTCAACACCTTTGAAACAAGCAATGAGGTCATTAAAACTCTGTACAACTTGACTACATGGTGAGGAGATTGTTCAGCCATTTGTTTAGCTTTATTGGACCAGTCCCTCATATAAAAGGTAAAAGATACAGGATGAGCAGCGTGGACTGCAGTCTGACACCCATATTAGAGGAGGAACAATAAAAGAATCCTCTCTCTGTATGGTCCAACCTTGTGTTACATTATTGGAAAACAATGAGGGCTTTTATCTGCTAAAAGGATGTGGTAATTTCCCCCACTGAATAACCCCATGCAATTTAAAGGTTGGGTTTGTTGAAATGCTACAGCTATAAAAGATTAATGGATTCTGAAGCTCTTTGCACATCTTTTCTATGGTTGCCAATAAATATTTCCATATCATTAAAAGAGGTTTTAGCCTTAACAAATGTATCTAAAAGCAGATAGGTGTCACCTTCAGCAGCCGTTCTTTTCCAGCATCAAACAAATACACTTAGAAGCTCTAAGCATTTTCTTTCTGCAGTTTTCCCTCAGTTTGTGTGGATGCAGAGGCCAAAGGGTAAAAAGTTTTGAATGCTTCCGGAGGTGTGAAAATTCTGCTCACTTGTTTAATCCAATTCTTGCTTCCAAAACATGAAAGAAGGGAATGAGAACCCCAAATCCCAAAATAAACCGCCTGACAACACCAACCTCCAACTTTCCAGTTTTTTGGGGTTTTTTTCTTCTCCGTCTCCTTTTGAAAACCTGTATCCCATTAATGAAGACACACAAAAGTGCAGCTTAATCCTTATCTCCTCCCTGGATCCTCAGCTCAGGCTCTGTAGCGCTCAGGGGATAATGTTCTTCCTTCTTCCTTTCTCTGCAGCCAAGTTTAGGGTCTCCCTCCTGACTTCTCTTCATCCCGAATAGGAATGCCACTCCATAAACATCCTGTGGTGCTTTGCAGTGTATTACAAACAGCATCAGGCTCACTTAATCTCCCACAATCCCTCCTCCTCTCCTCTCTGTCATTCAGTCTTTCTCTCTCATCATTAAGTAATGATTCCAGCGGCTGCCCTTCTCTCAGGCTCTTTTCTTATTTTTCTTCTATTACATTGTTTTCTATAAAAATGTTGAGTGGTTTGCTTACTGCAGATTAGTAGAACCCTGGAGGTTTTTCTCATGAATTTTAGATGTGTTATCCCGGTAACCTTTCACCAACTCTCTTAGGGGGACAGAAATGAATGTGTGACTCTCACTCTGTTGGTTTTCTCCTAAATGTCTACAAGTTACAGGGATCTTTCTGTCTTCCAAGTCTGTTTTAATGCTCTTTTTTTGCTTTCCCAGTGTGGAAAAGGTAAATTTATCATTCTGTGTTTCCAAGCTTACATAGACATGATCCTAATGCTGCTAGTATTTCCTACATTTTTCTCTTTTTCTATAGCCTTGGATTTCCACTGGATCTATGCTGTCCATGCTGCTTGGTCATGGTGGTCCTGACAGCTCTGATTTCTGTCACAGCAAATTATCTTTGCCTCCCAGCAGCCACCTCCTTCCCACCAGTCCTAGGCCTCCACCTCCCTTATCCGTGAGCGCTCGCGGCTCCGACTGACTTCCACTCACTCATTTGCAACCACAATTGGGATCTGCTGGATGGTGTTCACTTCTCTAGAGGTGGGCCCTGGTTCTGGAGGCAGATGTGGAGACCAAGGGAATGCTAGATTTAAGCCTTCACTCATTTCTATTTAAAGGAAAAAAATCCCTCTTTAGTGTTGGAGGAAGGATTAAGAGCTTTAAAAAAAAATGCAACATTTGGATGTTTTGCGTTGAAAGCATTGCACATGTTCGGCATTGTGGTATTACACACAATCCTGTCCCTAGGCTACTCGTCAGCTTTGCAGCAACATGTAAGATATTCACCCACACAAGTGCATTAGACACATGTAAAAATTACTTAAATATTATTTTTCTTTTTTTTTAAAACTTTTACTGGAAGGTGTTGTGGTTTTGTGGGTCTATAATGTGGTTTTTAAACTTTTCTGAAAGTACTTTGCCTTTTTTTTCTGCAAAGCTTTTATCTGGACACCTTTTTAAATATTTATGTTTCATTTATTGTTTGGAAGCATTATGTAACGGATGTTTGTTGAATAGGCTGCTCCAATAAGCTGTAAGAATATTTCCCTGCATGCAACTGGGTCACAAAAAAAGCCCTTTAAAGCAGAATGTTTATCTGCAAAGCTTGTAATGATTCATGCTTCAGCATATGATGCTTTCAGAATGGGTCTATAATCATGGCAGAGAAACATCAATAGTTGTATTTTGTTTCAGCTTTTAAAGCAAAACATCTTCTGTTCTCACACAGCTTGCAGTGCTAATGGTGACAGACTATTCATCATATATATATATATATATATATATATATATATATATATATATATATATATATATATATATATATATATATATATATATATTTAGCATTGGTTGAATCTTTGTGAAAGTGATGTGTTGTTTTTGTTTTTAATTTTTTGTCTCATTGTCCTCTAAGATCAATTTAATCGCAGTTTTACAAAGAAACATTTATGTTTCTGTCTCTCTTTTTCCATCTTTTGTTTCTCTTGATTATCTTCGATCGTTGACTGTGCCTTGAACAAGGTTGTCAATATGTGAACAAAGAAAAACGTGTCAAGTGTTTGTTTATATCTGGTAGCATAATGTAAAGTAGATGCAGAGATCTATGCACCAGAATCTGTCATAGAACTTTATTCTTTGTACTTCAGATAGTTCGAAAAATGATTTTGGCCTAAATTGATGGTGCATCTGAAATGACCATTCTCAGTGTGAATGCAAGTAGTAGCATCATGTTGTGGGGGTTTCTTTTGGAGACAGAGCAGCTTGCATAAATTCTACTTGATGTGGGCTAACCTCAGTTCACCTTATCAATGGTGTGGACTTAGCAGAGTGGAGACTATGACAAGGAAGGCATCTTTTAAATCAGTACTTTTCATACTTGAAGTGCATTAAAACTGCAAAAAAAAGTATTTCTGAGAAATTCATACGTCTTTTCATGTTATCACTCATAACATCACTCATTATTACAATAGAAAAGTTATTCCATTGTTGTCTTTATGAAATTTTAAAACTACAACTGCATTTTCTCTTATATCTTAGGTTGCTATTTAATTGAATACAAATGCACAACACACTTTTGGTTTGTATTGGTAAAAAATGTGAAAACTGTATCAATTTCCTTCCACTTTCTAAAGTTTATGCTACTTTGTTTTGGGTTATTAGATGAAATCCTAAGATAATAAACTGAAGTTTGTGGTTAAAACAAGAGAAAGTGGAAGGGTTCAAGGGGTTTGAAGGGTTTTGGGAGGCATTTTGTATTCTGTGTGAATAAGGTTGGCTTGGATGTCAGCATCAGCAGATCCCTCAGCTCTTCCCTCTTCCTTCATTCGAGGATTGTGCTGCAAATCTTCCCCGAGCCCCTGTATTTTTCTGCATCTTCCTGTTGATGCGTGTGTATGTCAGGGAGTATGCTGTAACTCCAACCTGCTGTCGGAAAAATCCCTAATCTAATCAGTATCTTTGCATCAAGCTGCTTTGTAAATCCTTCCTTCTTCCTCGTATATTTGATTAGACTTAGTGTATGCAGAACAGTCCCAGTCAGTCAGGTTCAGAGTGGACCTCCAAGCTTAAATCCTGACCTCTCTGCATCCCGCCTCCAGCAGAAAGCGATTTTCTTTTAACCATCTGCTTCAAAAAAGAGAAAGAGAGTGAGAGAGGCTGAAAAAATATAGACTAGCACAGGGAAATGTCTGCTCTTATCTTGCCCTTGAGAAGCAACAAAACCCACAGAGTCGTTTCTGTAAACTTTTATGTTTTCAGATACGCAGAGTGCTTTCGTAGAGGATAAAAAATGTAGCTAGACTTACTGTATTAGTACGTCTTCTTTGTTTGAAAATACTATTTATCTTTTAAAAAAAAGATTTTCTTTCAGCTTTTATATCTTCAGGCAAAACTCTGCATTTGAAGCACTAAAAAGTAAAGTGTCAGGAAAAAAAGGCAAATACCTTAGTAAGTAACACATAATACCAAAAAAATCTAGTACGCTAAATTAACTGAGAAATATTTATAAAATATTTACCTTTGGTAAATTTTTATCAAATATTTTTAAGTCTTTGTGATAAGCTGGCAACCTGTCCAGGATGAACCTCCTTTTTCACCCAAATTCTGCAGGGAAAAGGCACCAGCCAGCCTCCTGTGAGCCTGATGGGCATGCGGATATAGAAAATGGATGCACGGGTATTTTTTATTCCTCAGCAGCTTTGCCACTCATGCAGGTGCAACATCCCCACGGCCTCTCTCTGTTATTGTGAACCCTTTAACCTGAGCATGTACTCATTTGTTCAGCTCCTATTTTTTCTTTCTACAGTGTTTTGTCAGCAGGGATTGTAGCCAGAGTTTAAAATATGAATGAGTCAGTTTCTGGATGATGATTTAGAGGGTTTAGTTATTTTTCTCTCCCCTTCCCCTCAGCCAATTTTCAGTCTGGGTGAGCTCTTTGTTGTAAAAAAGGAGTTTCAAGCAAATGCGATTGTTTGCTTGTCACAAATCACTGCTCAGTAGCACCACATGCTCTGCAGTCAGTTTGATTGCATTGCATTATCACAGAAAATCCAAGCCTCAAACGTTCAAATCCTGGAAGGATTGTGGTTTGTATGTGTTGCAAAATATGTGCTGCACATATATCACACCAGAGTCAAGCACAATATGAGTTCATATCAAGGTTCCTCATTCAAACTCAGCTTAGGAATGCACTGTACAGTACAGTGAGTCTAAAGAGACAACCACACCATCTAGTGGTAAAAGGCTCCATCTGAATCATTAAGCCACTGAACCTATTCTAAATACTGCTACCACAAAACACCCAGAATAAATGGAACACAATGACAAAGAGTTAACAAAGAGATGCAACACATTTACAGATAGTAGCATGATTTAATCAGGTAACTGAAAAGTTTTACAGAATAAGGTTGAATACCTTGACACAAAATCTAAGTTTAAAAAACTAAATGACATTGTGTGAGTAAAAGACATGAGTTCACATCACAATCTGTTCACTGTGCAGAAATGTTGAATTGTCCCTTAGTTCTTCATGGTTTGCTTCCAAAGGAGACTTCTCTCAGTTTATTTTCCACACCTGGTTAATCTTTGGGGTTGTTGCAGGATGACTGATGACTATCTGCAGCACTCAATGATTGAGAGACTAGGTACATCCCATACAGGCTGCCAATCCATCACAGGGGAACAGAAAGATATGTTGGACAAAAAAACATCTCAACATTCAGACACACATAAGGTCAGTTTTATAAGGGATAGTTATTCATCTTAACAGTTATTTATTTATTTCTATAGTGGAATTAAGTGTAAGTAATGCTTTCCATAGCTTGGTGATAATGGTGTAACAGCTAAATTTTTGTAATATTATTGAAACATTATAGTAGTTATTTGATGTAATATTTAACAATTTTTAGATATTATGTTACTATTACATTGGTGCAAAGTACTTAGCTACCTGGGAATAAAAAAATGGGCAATATGGTGGCAACAGAATAATAGTTAGGTATTTCAAAGTAATGACTGAGTAATGTTTATCTAAAAAAATAAAAAATCATATTACCTGCTGTAACCAGAAGTAAAAACTTCTTAACAATTTGATATTAGTTTAAGAATTATAATTCTGGTAGGCTAAACTAAATCTTCATTGGTTATCATTAGTTGGGCTTTTCATTTTACTGAAATAAATGATATTAATCAGCGTGTAATATACAAAGAAATACAAATACAAAGTTATTCTAAAAATAACTTTCTAATAATAATTCAAAATATGAAAAAGAAAAAGACATCCTTTTTTTTCTTCACTTTAACATCCAACGGGATGCTTCACA